AAGGATCTTGCACGTCGCGTGTGATCGTCGTAGCTCCATCCGGAGACGGCCATTTGTCACTTCCCCAATTGGCTACATCACTCGCAATCTAATCGAATATGGTGTCAACTACGCGACGGGCATAGCGTACGAAATGATTTTTTAAAAATCATAACTCTTTCGTGCGAGTTCTGGTCTAAGCCCTCTTTATATTTATGTAATGATCTCAAGGAGTACTACAACTCTCTTTTTTGTTGTTTTAGCTCGTTTTGACTTTCATTTTTGTGCCTAACGGGGTAAAAATAAATGATTTTACAAAAACCATCTCTCTCATACGGATCCCGTTTTCGTCATTCTTTGCCCTAAAGTTTATATCTCAAGGAACACTACAAATCTCTTTTTTGCACTTTTAGTCAAAACTCAACCAATCTCTAAGAACCCTTTTGACGTAATTAACTTTACTTACGTGGTTTATTTTTATTTTCATAAAATCTATAACTCTCTCATTCATAGTCAGATTTTTACGAATCTTATATCATTGGGATCACGTTAACGAGTACTTTCCAAATACGTTAACCAGCTTTGAAGACATACAACTTTTTGGACGCTTATTTTTCGAGCCTAACAGTCGATTTAACAATAAATGTAACGACACATTTGATTCTTATTATCTCATAAATCAAATATTACAATATTAAGCTATTACATCTATTTTTTCCTACTCTTTTCAAGCGGTGGTCAGTGACGGAATCCTCTTGGTCATCACAGACCTAATTTTGATTCGACTGACGAATTATTATTCTTTTACATATAGTATTATATACTCTTCCACTGATTTTGATGACAGTGATTTTGATGACAAGTTTGAAGGCCTCCAATTTGATCTTGTAGAAGCACAATTAAGGATCTGTCATTTGTATGGTTGTTTGTGTTCCTGGTTAGATTTGTAGACAAGCAAGGCAATAATAGTTGGAGAATAAAAGCCTTTTTCCACAATTTAGATCTCTAAGGTGATTTGCATTCAACACAAAGGCATCTGAGAATAATCGGTAAAGTATGGAACATCTCCACCATTGATACTCTATGGGTCGATTGAATTTGTATGACTGGAATCTCTACATCAGTGATGGAGGTTTTGTTAGAGATTTCCCTGGGACGGAAGAAGATGGGTGGGATTATCTGGATTCTGGCATCAACGAGGCCCTTCACATCGGTTTTTGTTTGGTCGAAAGCTTTGAGCTCCGTTGTTCGATCGTAGGCAGATTTTTGAAAAGATGATGGTGTATATATGCAAAGGTATTCTCTATAAATGTGAGTGAGAGGAAGGATTGTCTTGCTTTTTGAGGTGGGCATACAGAGGAGATAAGCGGGAGAGTATCAGTGGTGATACCTTGACGTGGACTCTTGAGGTGGAATTTAGTTTAAATTCTTTTATTGAAAAAAGCTACGTTATCAAAGAAACCGGCAGTTACAAGTAAAGGTCCTTTTTAAGGAGGTAAAGATGTATTTTATGCCTCTAAACTACCAAAAAATAGCATGAATGACGAATTAAAATAGAACTTAATAGTTGGTTGTGCTACAATGATATTAAGCGGTAGATCTAAACTTACCAAAAATTAAAGCATTATATTTTCTTTGGGACAATTAACAAAAATTATTTGCAATTTTTTTATTTTTATTTTTTATTTTTTTGAGATAGGAAAGCTTACTTTTTTTGGGAGGAAATAAATGACACGAGGATGATGCTTTTTGATTTATACTGTAAAGTGTAAACCTATATTTCCCTTTATAACCAATCAATGCACGTTCTCTGAATATTAGATTCATATACATCTGTGAAATAATCATCTATGTTTCCACTTATGTACATCCGACATAAAGAAGCAATATTATGTGATATATGCTTTCAATGAGTTCAAATGTGGTCCATCACAGAGTCAAACTTGGAGTTTGTTTCCCGTTAAATTATATTTAACAAATTAAAAAGGATTGTAACTAGGGTTTTTGTTATCTTAGCCCAAGAAGCAGGACCATTTAGCTAGTTGGTGACTTTACAGAACATAATTTGTCTTTCCTATAAGCACCAAAGATATTTGAATAATCATTCATCCCATACATAAAGAAACGATGGTTAAAAGCTTGACTGTATCATACACTTGTTTTCTGTCAGAGTTCAGGGTTTAAGCATACAACCTATGGCTTGCTTCATAACTGAGCTCTCTTTCGGGACCACTTGTCCATTATCATCCATGAATGGTGTTTCTATTTGTATAATGACATAATATTGTAGTACACCGAAAGTTAATTTTTTCACTTGGTTTTTTGTACTCTCACCCCCATAACTTCGTACATACATATATATATGAGCAACCAATATGAGGAATGGGAGTATGGGACATTGCAAGAAAATTCATGATTCAAACGCATGTGACAGGAAGAAGGACAAACTAAAGCTGAATATATATATATATATATACTACTTGATCTGAAGGGGATAATTGTTTATGAATACAAGGGATGGGGATAGAAAGCGTGCACCACTGATCGGTCTATTGATCCTCGTCTTTCATCATGAATTTAAGGATAGTTATGCATTGGCAACAGTGTATCCGTATTTTCTATTTTCTATATAATAATAATAATAATATACGAACGTACGACAAGCTGTGGCTCCACGGCGTTTTATGTGCCCATATTTGGTGACATGAAGCTAAATGGTAATCGATATTAAGGATCTCTGTAGGTTTTGCAACAAGGTATAATATTAATGAACAGGCTAACAGCCCTTTTGTCATATAAAATCAAAAAACAAAATCAATTCTCTTGATTATTTTAAATTAAGTCATCAACTAGACCTGTTAAACATTTGTTTAAGTTCATATTCAAACTTCATTTCTTTTTCCGTTTACTTGGCTTTTACTCATTTCATGTTTGTCAAAATCAAGTTTCATTGTGATATCATTATAGGCCTTTTAATGGCCCTAAACAAGAGAAAACGGTCATATTTATTCTCATCCTTGTATTGTATTTGAATTATTTCTTGAGACATCAAACTACCATTTTCTCCACAATTGGTTTCCCTTCATAATTTTCATTCCCATCACATGTATTTTTGTTAAGAAGTTTGGCAGCTGTCATAAGTTTTACTAATATTTATCAAGAAAACGAGAGAGAGTTTTGTCTCACTAAGTATCACTAAAAATGGAGATACAATTATAAGTTTTATCTATAAGACTTGTCCTCCTGTTATACACATTAAAAACCTTTGATACTAAAGAACATACCACAGAGACCCCATTGCTAAATTCTGCAGAAACTTCTCCAAGTCATCTTTTGTATTGAGGATAAACAACACAAAAAATAGGTACAAATAGTTTATTCAGTAACCTACCATGAAAACATTCCTAGATTCTTCCCATGTTTCTTATGAATTATGTTTCGATTTTGGGTAAAACAGGCAATGCTTACTGTATCAGCATAGAAGTACGTAGTAGGCTGTTTCCCATTTTTCTTATAAATGTCAAACTTTATAGGAATTGGACTTGGATACTTCTTGAACAAAATATGGTTGATGTGTAAGTTGGAAATGGATTGGGTACCAATGTTGAATAATATGATGTATCATGTGACATGCATGTCGTGATTGACATCATGTGGCTTGTTTTTAGTTTGGTATGAGGTAGGCACACAAGGTCGTACATGAGTTCAATATCATGCTCCATCAAACAGAATCAGTATATATCCTCTTTCAATCAAGAAGAAGATGATGAATTAAGAGAAAAATGGTAATCTCCTGCTTGTTTCATTATTCATATAAGACATTGAATCTAAGCTTCCTTTTTGCTCCTAACGAATAGAAAACGTTTCCATTGAAGGTAATTATCAATCTATAAGATGTGAATCTTTGATAACTTATGGATTTCTTGAGTTGGAAGGAAATGTGGAAATTCTAGATAATTCGTGTAATAAAGTGTTCGTGTTTCTATAGATAAAGCTCGTATGGAAATGAAGTAACTCAAAGAGTATGTTGTTATTATGGGTATATTTTTGGATATTGAGAATTAAAATGATAATTTTGTGGTTTTAGTATGTGAGGATCACTATTAAATCATCCTAAAATGATGGCATGGAAATTGGAATGAAATTATAAATTAGAAATTTGCCAAACATTAGTAACAATAACCAAACGGATGTTAGATCAAAAATTGAGATGTTTGATAATCTAACATGTCTTCGTATGAAAATTGATCATTTGATTACGTACTTGGGTATTTGACAACTATTAATGTATTTGGATATATGTTGGAAGTAATGGAAACAAATGCATACTTCTTATGTTATAAAGACATGTGTTTGGTGTGTATCTGTAGAATATGTGTATACATATTTGTTTATATTTGTATACTATACTTGATTAAGTTATGACTCATATGTGGAAAATTTGGAATCTTATAGATTTAGCAATGAATTAGGATAACATGTGTATATTCAATAGTCATTTGGTGACTTAGTTATCATATGTGATAAAGTCTCAACAGCTTGTTAAGCTTAATGTATTAATTGAATATATATTATATGGTTTTGCTACGGAGTTTTATAAAAGGTGAATATCAGATTTTATTGGTTCTTTTTCGGATTAAACTAACTTATTTTATTTTATTTTTTTCCAAAATGACCTTGTATTTTTTTCAGTTTTTTCGATTTAGCCTTTTTAACAAATTTACCGGTAATCGGCTCGGAAAAACTCTCTACTTTTCTTCCCAAAAAAATCCCATGTGACAACTTCACAACTTGTTTTGATATCTAATTTTAACCTTCAATATTAGAAATGATTTAATTCATAATATATTTCTTTGAGACTCAATTTTTGTTTCCATTTGAACCAATTTTTTTGTTTTGACCAAGTTATGTTTGACATGTTGCATACAAAGTTGCAACTTGAAAAAATAAATAAATAAATAAAATCAAATGTTTACAAAAGCTTCAAAGAACATTTTGAATGTAAAGCACATACCTAGATCAACAAAAAATATACTTTTTTTTTCTTACTTATAAATATTATCTAGATTTGAACATTAAAAACAAATACCCAAAAAAAAATCAATATTTATCAAATATCAAATATTTGATTTACAAATTACAATAGCTTCAACGAAACCCCATCCATCATCAATATCTGGGCCCACCCAAAATCCAAATATCACATTGGGACTACAAACTAATTTATCATCATCAACAAAAACATCTCCACAACAAACTCTTAAATGTGTCTGATTAGGGTTATGATGCCACGTCATAGAAACTAGGTTTTTGTTTTTCCCGGATGATTTGGGTGCCACAAAATTGATTCCTTAAAATCAAATTTCAATTGTAAGCATGAAAGAAATAGTAACATACTTTTATATATCTGTTTATTATAGCATCCTACTTTCATTGTGAGAAACCTAGCCAATTATAGCAATCTCATCCAAATAGAAAAATATTTTCATTGCTATTAAAAAAATAATAAAATAATAAAAAAAAAAAAGTCAAAGTACAATGCTTTTAACTGGTTAAGATTTGTCAAAGTACAATATCAGGAAAAAAAATGAAATTACTAGATAACAGATATAAGCTTTTCTAATTATGTAAAAAAATAAATTCTGAAGGATAAAAAAGCTTGAAACACATACCTGTTATGGAATTTGATGAATGTAAAAGCATCCTGCAATTAGCTGTTTTCCATGCTTGTAGCTGTAGGTCCTTTAAATAAAAATAAGGCAAGAACATAAGCTTTGTTGACTCACCAATTAACTACATTTCTTTATAAAATAATAACATACTTTTGATTTGTCTCATTTAGGTGATTTTTTTTTTTTCATACACAGATAGTCATTGTACTTTCAAAGAGTGTCTTATTTGGTTCATTTGCTAAAAAAAATAGTTTGACGTTCTTGAGTCAACTCATCAATAGCTTTGTTTAAAACAAAAATACTAAACCATTTGCAAAGTATACTGGTTAAAAATCAACAAAATACAAGAATCATCCCTGCACATATGATACATAATATTTATATATTGATTTAGTATTTGTAATATTGTTAGATTCTAACAAAAATTTGATGAAATATACTCAAGAAAATCAAATTGTTTCTAACTAAATGACTTAAGTGGAACACTTATTAAAAGTATTTAAATGAATTACTGGTGTAGGCTTACACGTTACAAGAATAAGAACATCTCTCAACAATGTTTGAACCATTTTCCCAATGTTGCATATTTTGACACATTATCAGGTAACCAGTTTCAGTTACAATGTTGCATATTTTGACCCTAGAATGAGAAGCATGGATGCATAATTTGTTTTAAAACAAGCTTTAATCCAACTTTTTACTAACATTTTGATATATATTTTAATCACATTTTCATAATTGAAGGAACCTTCACCTCAAAAATCCATCGCATTAAACTCATATCATAAGTGATAAGTCTAGAGAAAAGGTAAACAAAGAAACAATAAACAGTTTGTACTTGAACAAAATTTCCACTTTGCTTTTTTTCTTGTTACTTTTAAACCTGCTTTCCTGACCTAAATCAATCTGCCGTGTCTGTTATACAGTTAATTTAGTATACTACTGACCCGTTTCATGTATATCTATACACAATTACACATCACATCGAATTGAAGTCATGAAAATAGCCTATTTGACGACAGACGTCAAAGAAGGGAGAGAGTACGAAAATATTTCAACTAAATTGCTGAAGAAAAGTAACTGAAAATGGAAATAGAAGAACATATTAAAGCATGTGAAGAGTCCCGACTTAGAGAAATGAATTCCTTCTTCCGTAATCTACATACGACATAAGGGGATGGCCACAGTGTGAGTTACCTTGATTAGGGTTTTGTGCGAAGTTAAAGGCGTGAAGGAGAACAAGGAGACTAAGCACGCCATTGAAGCCAGGCTTGGAGGTTCCAATAATAAGTCGGCACTCGGCACCACGCAGCTGTGTGAACTTTGAAGGCAACAAGGTGTTGTGAAGAAGTTTGAGAACCCAAAGGAATGAAGAATAATGGAACCAAGGTTCGAACCTGAAGGGGCAAAAGAGTAATTATACCCTCTCCCATTCAAAAAACTAAAAGTAAGATAAAAGGGTTGTATAAACTAGGGTTAAAACTTAAACCTTAAAAGCAACTTTATACAAGGACAAATAGAGTAATCTAATTAGATTATCTTCCTTATCAATCCAACTTTTCAATGAATTTCTTTCTCTTTCTTCTATATAACTCAATCCAATCTAATTTTTTACATCCATTAGTAACCCAATCAAACTCATTTTTCCTTAAAAAAATATAATTTATTTTTTATTTTATTTTACTAAAAACTACTAGAAATATTAAAATTAAATATTTTATTTTGAAACAAATAAATTATTTATTTTAGGCATGAAATTACAAACAAAAAAATAAAAAAATAATGATAAAAATTTATTTTATATTCATGAAACATACTTAATAAAATAGATAAAATAAGTTACAAATGCGGAAGATGCAAACTACTTAATTATTCTTCAGTGCTAATTTTTTTCCATATATGCTCAATCAAATCGTCTTTTAGAGCTTTATGAGTTTCTCCATTGCGAACTTGTGTCATGTTGGTCATATAACTGGATACATCTGCAATTCGTTGAGTAGAGTATTCAAATGATTGTTCGTCTTCTGTAGTTATAAATTTGGATGGATCATATCATATTATGAATGATGATACACGTAATCATAATTTTACCTATCATATCTTTGTCCCACACAAGACAAGGGAGATGAAGAAATGAAAAACGAGCTTGTAAAACTCCAAATGCTCGTTCAACATCTTTTCTAGCAGCCTCTTGATTCAGCGAACAACTTGTGTTTTCGAAGTTGTGGAGAACTTATTGACTTGACAAAGGCAACCCATGAAGGATATATGCCATCAATGAGATAATAAGACATTATTTTGTGGATTATTCACAATGTAACTCACATTTGGTGCTCAACCTGCCAAGGCATCATAAAAAAGAGGAGATCTTTGGAGGACGTTAATGTCATTGCACGAACCCGATATTCCGAAGAATGCATGTCATATCCATAACTTATAAGATGCAACAACTTCCAAAATTATTGTTGTCTTACCACTTCTACCTGCATATTGTCCAGCCCAAGCGGTGGGACAATTTTTCCATTCCCAGTGCATGGAGTCAATATTGTCTACCATACCTGGAAATCCACGTTCTTCTCCAACATGGAGCAGTCGTGCCAAATCATTTTAATTAGGACTTCTAAGGTACTCTTCACAAAAGCATGAAATAACATCTTCCACAAACTTTACAAGAGCATCCCTTGCTACAGTCTCACTCATTCTTAAATATTCATCATGTGCATTTGCTGTAAATCCCTTCTGTGTTGGATTGGACACAATAGTCTCCTTCTTCAGTAGACCTTGATCTTTTTGTGCTACCACCACTTTCTTCATCACCCACTTCATATTCAGGACGTGATCGTGTTGCATCATGATCTAGCTGTAAATCTCATTTTCGATGTCTACACATAACCTCACTAAAAACAATTGTGTCATTGAACTTGCTTCCACTTGTCTCATATAACATATGAGCTTCATTCTCAACATCTTTCATATTCATCCCACTTCTTCTTTTTCTATATGTTTCTCGGTAAACACCAACCCATTTTCCAGCACTTTCATTAAGTCGTTTATAACGACCTTTCATTTGAGCTATGTTTTTGTTACCAAGCTTTCCTGGGTTTTCTGCTTGATTTGCATCACATATCTCCTTCACTCGTGCCCATATTGATGTTTTCTTTTGGTTTTTTCCACGACGCTCATCTTCACTAATGATGTAATATGCTGACATTAAAGTGATATCTTTGTCAGCATCCTATTTATCGCCTCTTGGGTTTTTCCAGTATTTTGTGAGGTCTGAATATATTCAATGATAGGGAATTCATTTGGATTTGAGAAAAATTGAGAAGTTTCATAACCTTGAAAGTTTTGATAATCTTGAGAATCGTCAAGATCTAAAACGAAATTTGTATCCATGGTATCAAAGAAATAAAAAAAAGGTTTAGAAATGAAGAGTTGAGATGGGATATGAACTATATCAATATTATACTCTATTTATAGAGAAAAAAAATCATAAATTTTAATATTTTTTTAACTTTTTTACTAAGATAATGTTGGATTTTTAAGGATAATAATTCTTAATATAAATATACAATAAACCTTTCATTGTTAAGCACGTGGCAACAATAGTTTGGTGAACTTTGGTGAATTTGGGTCGTCCATGTGGCCTAGGCCGAAGATATACATTTAATTTTTTTTTAATTAAAAAGTACTGATCCGCTCGTCAATTTGCACCGATGGGGGTAGTCTTATAAACGATCATTTTAACAAAAATAACGAACATTTTTTTTGGTAAAATGACCACATGCTCCGGAACATAGCATTTCGGATTTGTGGTCTTCGTTCCGGAGTCCCTATTCCGAATTATAACCTCGGGTTTTTTTCGTTTCATATATATATATATATATATATATATATATATATATGTGTGTGTGTGTGTGTGTGTTTGTGTATTGTTTCTTTAAAATTGATAATGTTGCTACATCTAAATTAATTCGTTTTTGTTCCCAAAAAAATACAGGTTCATGCATTCATAGGCTGCTTCTTGCCTGTCATCTTTATATGTAGTGTCCCTCTTAGAGGGGACTACCTAAAAATAATGTTTGTAGTGGTTGCTATCGACGGGAACAACCAGACCCTCCCTATAGCATTTGGTCTTGCCATGGAAAATAATTTCTATTGTTGTACCTGGCTCCTTATGAGGTTAAGAGAAGCTCTGAGACAGGGTAGGGAATTATCATTCATAACAAATATGGACAACATCGTTAGTTTTTGCATAGAGCATGTATTCCATGATTCTTATCATAGGTATACTTCTAAAAGTGTGTTCAAGTATATGCGCACAAGAGGCATCTCTGGTAGAACATTAAAACCTTTGTTCTAGATGACATCCAACTCATATATTGTGTCTGGTTTTGAAGAAAACTTTCGTCGGCTGACCTCTGATGCTCGTGAAATGTTTGCCAACATTGGTCATGCAAAATGTGTAGGAGTCTATTTCCCTAACATCCGTTGGAATGTAGTCAACATTGATGTTCCTTATAAAAAAATTTGTTATCGGTAAATCAACGCAATGTACCGATAATAATGTTTACCAAGGCAATTTGTGACTAAATTCAACGGACTTTCGTTGAACGCAGTTTAATGGCAGGTAAAATATCGGGTGAAATATTAAATTTATTTAATTAATCTTACAATAACCTTATTTGATCATATTTACTTTTCAGATAGTTTGACTACCGTACTCAACCCGTATGATGAAATAGTGCTTCATAAAAGTATGCAAAAGTCTGTTCGGTGGCAAGCAACAAAGATCCCGCCAGAGATCCCATCTCTGCTCCCGTCCGACATTTATCGAGTTTTTTATTATAAAAAAACTTGTGTGTTGATCTAAACCATCATACATGTTCATCTGGGAAATGGCACAGTCTGGGTATAACGTGAGGTCATGCTATTGCGGCATCACGTCATTCGAACATCCATGAATATCGTTCAGATATATTACCGGACTGATGTGTTTCAGACTGCCTACCAGACACAAATTGTGCACCCTCTTCCCCCTCTATCAGAATGGGAAATACCAGACCCTTTGATTGTAGTTTTATTGTCAATGTAATTACAATTAATTATGTTTGTAATTGATTAATTTGCAATGTGTAATGAAAAATATTATTATTGCCCTAATATTTGTTATATATTACAAAGATAGAAAAAACATAATTTACAAGTATCATAGTAGTACTAACAAACAAGTAAACATTACATATTAAAAAGATTAATAAGCATCACAGAAACTTAGTTGATGAACATAAAGCTTACAATTTGTACACAACAATTCCAAAAAAGAAAATCCAACTACAAATTAACGCCATCTTCAAGTGCATATTTTGGGTTTCAAGTTTCTTCTTTGATCGAAATAAGTTACTGATTATCAACGAATTATTGTCTTTTTTTTGTCAACCCAACAGATAAACTCAGACTGTGGTCGCTGAAAATTTAAGATCAAACACATGACATATATTGTATAAATTAATATTAATTCAAAGAAAAATAATAAAAATGATAACTCACATACCTCTTTAGGACAAGCGTAAAAAAGTCGTCCAATGTTATTTCTAGTCGTTGATGTCCTTATAATACCTTGAGAGCCACACTCATAGTATGCCATTTATTTGGATTATGAGAATTTTTAGTAGTAAATTTAACAAGGTAAAGAGTTTGGAAGCTTGAATTCCTTTATATAGTGGCATTTACTACGGTCATGATTCTTGACACCATTCCGGAGCCACATTCCGGAATTGTTATTTTGGACCCTAAATTCGGAACAATAATTGTCATAGATTTCTGACATATGTGTAGTCATTCCGAACAGTAAAAGTCATAGATTTTTGACATATGTGTAATCGTTCCGAACAATAAATGTCATAGATTCTTGATAGTATTTCAGACCCTCATTCCAGAGCCACGTTTCGGACCAGCTATTTCAGACCCTTGTTTCGGACATTGCTTTTGTACGTAATTGTCATAGATTCCTGACATATGTGTAGTCATTTCCCCCCAGTAAAAGTCATAGATTCTTGATAGTATGTGTAGTCATTCCGAACAGTAAATGTCATAGATTCCTGACAGTATTTCAGACCCTTATTCTGAAACCCCGTTCCTGAGCCACTTTCCGGAATGGCTATTTCGGACACTTGTTCTGGACATTGCTTTTGGACCTTAAAATGCACCTAGCATGCATCCTCAACGTTGAAAAAAATTTGGAATGAGTTCATCTAACGATGGTGTTTGACATTGTGAAGAAGAAGATTGTTATGTTTGTTCAGATAATAACCCGTTTCTTGAATAATGTTATGGCACACCCCGGCCAACGGCGGAAACACCGGGCTGTGCAACGTAGGGATGTTGGATCACGGTAGCAGGTATATTGAACAATACACAAAAGTATAACACAAACATTACATTTACTTATTATAAATTATTGTAGGGTTACATTGTTTGATAGATCAAACACGCATCCTAAACATAACTAGAAATAAAACAAACAGAAGTGACTTCCAGCAAGCTTCAATGACTATTTCCTCTTTTCCACGACTATCCTCCGCACTCATCTCCGTGTATTTTGAAAACCTCAACATAATGTTGGTGAGTTCATGGGTTTTTATAGTTTTATGCTTTATCCTTTTTGTTAAATTTGGATTTCATTTGTATTTAAAAATCTTTCTTTTTAGGACATAATACATATCCTAAACTTTTAAATTTTTTATTGAAATCCTTTTTAAATCGGATCATACAACTACTAAAGGCGTCCTTTTAGATAGTTAGGTTAAGATTTCCCAAACAGCGTTACCATGAGCCCTTATAATCGAAGATGTGGACCGATAAATATCCCCAACACGACGCTTCAGTGGACGTCGAAAAATATTATTTTTATACTTAAGAAAGTTATGTTGTCAGGATTGTAGCTAGCAATCGCAGGTAGGGGTGTCAGCCCTATATATATCTATACATATCTTTCTGGCTCTCGCAGGATTAACGATTATAGATTCGGGAGGTAGCCGAATTTAATCAGGCTATAGGATGAATAATAACAGTTCACTAACACAAGTTTGCCTAATCTTAAGTATGATTATTGTTTTATCTTTTTCTTACTTAATCTTTCTTTGATATCATAATTATTCATATATATCCTTAATCCTATATATAATAATTATATTTTATAGATTTTATTTGATAGGTTATGGTACGGTTAAGTACATTGTCTATCCTTACGTTTTCTTCCATATTTATCACTTTATATATATATATATATATATATATATATATATATATATATATATATATATATATATATATATATATATATATATATATATATATATACGAAATCACAACCCAAATGACGAAATCATAGCTCGTGAACACCCATCCACGATTTCATTGGCTATTTAGGTCATTTTTTGGTTATTTATTAGAAAGAATTAAAAAATTAGGTTAAATTTTGTCATTTTCTCTATTAGTATTACTAGAGCATTCAGAAAGGGTTAGTAGTTTAGCGGGACGATATGTTGTTTGTTTTCCTTCCACCTCGGTATAAAACAGTCTTTTAACATTAAGACGCATTTATTTATTACATTTATAATTTGTTCAAATGAAAAAAGAAAATTTGTGAATGGTTATCAAGACCGATTAGGCGAGGATCGGATAAACTCTCTTAATTTGTATATGCAGAGATTATATATACTGTTAATTGTTAAAAACTTGGTGAACAGGAAACTTTGACCATTTGCATTTGTGCCATAATTTTTCCTCTCTTTTCTTATTTTGCCCCTGTAACTTGTGCTTTGGCTAATGCTTATCTTCTCTTCCTCACAGTCGGTTGCCGCCTCTCATTCTAAACCACGATATTTTCGATTCTTATCTTTTCTTCTTACCTGTTTTGATTGTGCCGCCCTTCTCCTCCAATAGGACTCTCCACCGCCATTGACTGCGTCTCTGAATATATTTCTCATGCTTATAAGATTTCTTCGCTTGATAACTCCTCCGCTCTATTCCCATTGTTGCATTCCAATCGAGCGATGACCTCGACTTCTACTACTCCTTCTCAGTATTTCTGTTTCTTCCAATTTCGTTTTATCTCGGCTTTTAATTATTTGGTTTCAAGAAACATGTAGCACTCGATCTGAACCCTAGAAATCGGTTTGTTCACCATATGGTTGCAAAGCCTCGGAG